TTAAAAAGTGTTATGTGGTGGGATGTTCTGGAAAAGATGTTATGGGGTTTTGGAACAGTGTCTCCCAGGTTAGCAGATTCCTAGAGATAGTAAAGACTTACCTATGCCTTTGATAACTTTGATATACAAATCACCTTATCTGAATCTGTATCCTACCTGCATCATTTTATCAGGCTCCCACAGTGCAGGACTCTATTCTCCTGCCCTAAATCATCCCAGGACCAGGTACCAGAGCACTATAGACCATCTATACTGTACAGACTAGAGTCTACTGAAATTATTCAAACTATCCAGTTCTAAACCTGCTCAAGGGCTTATCCTGCCTTGCCCATTTCTTTCCTTGAAAACCATAACCAGTGGTTTTGCATATAGTTTTTTCTCACCCCTCTGCCTGCTGGCTAATCATAGTGCATCCCCATGTGTACCTGTGTAGCATGGCATACACCCTCCTCTTGGAAACTGTAAATAAACTCTTCTTTCAAAGGCTGTCTTTGTGTATGTCATCTTGTCACACTCAATTAAAACAAATCCCATGTACATTTCAAAATAGGAGCCAGATAGAGTTGAGTTCCAGCTGGGTTCTGTCATTTACCCATCATATGACCTTGGGAATATTGCTTATCCTTAGCTGGCTTTAGCATTCTTATCTGTAGAACACAGCAAAAGATTTCTGTATTGTAGGACTACTGTAAGGACTGATGATGATACACATGAAGTGAGTGAATAATGAAGAAATAGATGTATGATTGATGTAAGGTTTAGATATGAGGTGTCCCATAAAAGCTCATGTGTAAGACAATGCAAGAATTTTCAGAGGTAAAAAGATTAGATTAAGAGAGACATAACCTAATCAGTGGATTGATTCACTGATGAAGTAACTGGGCTATAACTATAGGCAGCTAGGGTATGACTAGAGGAAGAAGGTCACTGGGGGTGTTTCTTTGGGTTTATATTTTGTCCTTGGTGAGTGGAAACCTCTCTCTGCTTCCTTCTTGCCATGTCCTGAGCTGTTTTTTTTTTTTCTGCCACGCCTTTCCTTCATGGGTCCAGAGTGATGGAACCAGCTGACCATGGACTGAACCTCTGAAACTGTGAGCCAAAATCAACTATTCCTCCTCTACATTGTTCTTGTCAGATCTTTTGGTCACAGTGACATAAAGCTGACTAAAACAACCAAGGAGATAAGACAATCAAGAAATAAAATCTTCCTTTGGCTCAAAAATGAATAATACATAAATAAATACCCATTCAGATATATACATCCTTCCTAATGTTCAATTATAAGTAGCAACAAATCAGGAGACATTTTACATTCTGCTGTTTTAGTTCCTTAACTGAAAAACCTTTCCCTCCATATTAAACGATGGCTTCTGTAACTGTTAAGGAAATAAAAGCCTGATAATTAGTCTTGTAAACAAGAGAATTAAAGGAAGCATACTTTATCACTTTTTCTCTGTTCAAGTGTCACTTTGACATGCTACACCTACCTTCACTAATTACCTGATAAACAAACTTATCAAGGAACTGGTAGAGAGACCAGAGTTTGAAATTTGAGACCATTCTGGCCTTAAGATAAATATCAGCCTTGTGACCTTCAGTAAATCACTTAATAGTTCCAAACTTTCAGGTTTCTTATCTGTAAAAGGAGATAAGGACATCTACCTAAGAAAGATGTTTAAAAACATCAGATATAATGTAAGTAATGTGTTTCATTAGGGGAAGACCTGGAATTTAAACCCCACTAGTCTGAAGGGCCTAGCTAACAAATAACAAAGCCCACCACAGCCCTTAGATTAGAGATTTCATCATTAGCTCTTCTCTCCCTCTTTCTTGCCTCTCCTCTTCTCCTAGTGGCTGGATGAAAACATTTTTCAGGATTTGAATAATTTCCTTCTCTCTCCCTGAAATTATGGCCCACATGAGATTTTACTGCTTGAAACAGAAGACTCTGCACATCCAATTAATGACCAGATGCATTCATGTCTAGCACAAAAATTCAGCTTGAGCTGTCATCCCAGCCAGTTGGCAGCTTGGGTTGAAGTTGCTGGATTCATTTAACCCAGGACAAATTATCTTACCTACAGGGACAGGGGTAAATGCCCAGGCAAATCCTGTCTCAAGATGTGGTTTGACCTATCTAGAAGCCTTCCATTCTGCCCTCAAGCTGTCCATTTCTGCAGATTCTCTTTCTGGAAGTCTTCCCAACAAATCTAATACTCAGATCTCTGTTTCTCTGGACACTTGCTGCCTTAATGGCCAGGTCTGGGTGCTTTAGGGGCATTCCATGGCCAAGTTTCCAAGGAGTTCACATATTTTCATGCCTGAATCTTGTTGACCAGTCCACAGTCTCTACTGTGGCCTCTTGGTTTTCTCTCACAAGGCTTTGCCCAGAGCCAGGCACTTAAGAAACAAAGAAACCTCAGATGATTTACTGATTGATTCCTATTAAGGCCCAAGATACTCCTGGATGCTCTTTGAAAAAAAAATATTTTTTGTAGTTGTAGATGGACAGCATGCCTTTATTTTATTTGTTTATTTTTATGAGGTGCTAAGGCTCAAACTCAGTGCCTCACACATACGAGGCAAGTACACTGCCACTGAGCTATAGCCCTAGCCCCAGCCCCTGGATGCTCTTAATTGAAATATTTGAGTGGATGCATAGATCAGATGATCAATTAATTTATCTTGCAGAGTGACTTTTCATTGATTTATTTTTATAGTCCTGGAGAAGTTGTAAGGTTTAATTTTGGACAGTCTTCCTACTTTTATCCCCAGAAAAATGACTTTTTTGCTTCCAAACATACTAAACAATATGCTGTAGTTTCAATATTACAGTTTCAGACAAAAGATGCATGCACTAACTACCCTGGCACAGTGGTTTTTATTCTGCAAATACTAAATGGAACAATTTTGAGTTTCATGTCAGTGTAGATGAATATTTTGCTTTGTATATGTGTGCCATGTGTTTGGGAAGAAGAGTAGCATCTTTTACGTCAGCCTGTGGTTTAGTAAACTTTTCCTGTAAAGGGCCAGAGTGTCTCTGTGACAAAAACTACCTAACTTTGCCTTTATAGCACAAATGCAGTCATATAAAATCTATAAATGAATGGGCATGACTTTGTTCCAATAAAACTTTATTTATAAAAAACAGGAGGTGGGTCATTTGCAGCTCCCTGCTTTAGTTTTCCATGAACACTCATTATTTCTCTGTGTTTTTAATTTATTTATTTTGCCCTGAAGTTCTTTTTTCCCTGTGCTACTTTATTGTTAAATGCAGTTTATTTTAGTGCAAGATAATCACCACCTCCCAAAAGGTTGAAACATTAATGCAGAAAATGGCACAGAATGAAGAATTCACTTTATAATGAATGATTCACCCACACCCCTTTCCTCTATCATTCCCACCCACTCTCAAGTCTTTCTTTATTTCTTTGGTGAGTAAAGGAAACCTTCATTTCATTACATTATATGAACAAACTATTTTTGACATCTTGAAAGTTGTTTGTTATTTCAATAGACTTGTTTTCATTGTTCAACTAATATATTTTTCTATGCATGTCTTAATTTAGAATAAATGCATCATAGATTTTCTATTAAAATTACTGAAGGTATTTTTGTTGTTGTTGTTTAATGGCTTTTAACTCAGCAGTTGAATGTTCAGGAATGAATTCCTGTCTGTCAGTGATGGGTAGGTACAACTTCAGGGCAAACCTGAAATTGTCCTCAACTCTAGGGAAATCTTGCTAGTCCAAGGTGGCAACCCATGACCACTGTTCCGTGTCAGTCAAGACCCTGAATGATATGAGGAGATTTGAAGAAGGAAGGAGGGAAGAAGTGTGCCCTGATACTGTGACTGACTGGGATAGAAAACTTTGTGAAGTTGCAGACACATAGTGTATGGCAATGATCCCATCTCTTAATCTTTCCCTGTCTAGTTTTTCCAGACATGTCACCTAAAGCCATTCCTTGCTCTTAATCTCTTCATTTGTAAAACAGAGATTAAAATGCCTTTGCTATCAAGTATACAGGTTTACCACTAGCTTACTATGTACTATCCCCACGTGAAGTATCATTATCAGCTGAGCATTTAGAAGGAATCTAGAGGCTGTATGCTTCCCACCCCTGCCCTGTCAGGAACAAATGTCTGAAGTTCCTGAAGCTGCTTCATAAGAGCAAGTGTCCAGGGCTAACTTGAATGATTTTCATTTCTTTTATTTCCCCTTTCATTGTGATGGGCCAGGAACTCTTGATGCTGGGGCTGTACTGAATGAAACAGACATGTTCCTTAACCTCAAGGAGCTCATGGTTCAAGATGTATTATGAAGTCAAGTCCAGATACTTTTGGGAGAATCCCATTCTAGGGACAAAAGACCTGTTAGACTGTGTTATTGAATAACAGCCACAAAATAACATTAATAGCCAATGAGCATATAAGAGTAACAGCATATGATGATGTCATAAACTGGACACAGATTTATGATCTTCTGATTTGGGGATAACATGAAATGAACAGAAAATAGGGTAGGATGTGTTATGGAAGAAGTTCTAAAACACGGGAGAATTCCATGCTGTGGGCTTAAGTCCTGACTAAGCTTAGCCAGATAGGAGTGTGAACAAGTGATCATGTTATACTGAGCTCATTGGCACCTTCTGAACTCTGGGGAGACTCCCAAAGCCAAATGTACAAGTTTTACTTTCCTGGTTTGGGAGGTAGCTGAATCCTTCACCCTGACTCCTACTGCATTATGATCTCCAGCAAAACAGAAACAGGTAAGTGGTAGTTATGTTATGACTTAATGATATCTATATCATTAGAGAATAACATTTATATAATTTCACTAGAATTGGAGTAGGAGTTGCCCTGCCCCAATAAAGCAAGCAGATTTTGATAATTTAAATAATTTTCATCAAAAAATTAAAGACCCCGTCATTTATCAATCTTTCCAGTGAAGCCAAATACCTTCAAATTCAATCTGGAGAATCTGCTGAAATAAACACTATATGGAAATGCAAAAACATACTAACCCTCAGGGGAACCAGAGGACAAAATACATGGGTGCAGTTTTCACCAAAACATCCAGGGAAAAAAACCCTTCACTGTATCTTTTGTGGTTGCTAATAAGCTTGATTCATATACTTAACTGTCATTTGTACAATTCTTAGCACCACAAAGAGGAAATGCTCTTTCTTCTTCCTTAAAAAAAGTTCCAGTCCAAACCATCAGCCTCTGTAGGTTGTCTTAATTGCTACTTTGCACTGCACTGGACTATGACTCTGATTTTTGGCACATGCTATCATACACAAAGTTCCTAAAATAAAATGCTCCAGGATATCCTAGGAACTCTTAGAAGGCTTTAAAAAGGGACTCACACACTGAAAGAATATCTTTGATGAGGACAATTCAGGCGAGCAGAATGATTATTGCAGCAGAATTACATGATTAACTGAGATCTTGAAGTAGGTCCGGAGAGTCCTCGTCACCTAACTTATCATGGTTGGGGGGAGGTTGACGAGAATCCAGTTTTGATAAAGACAATTGTTTTTTTTTCCTCCCCAAGTGACTATACATTTAAATAGTTAAAACATCTGTTCAGCAACATAGTAAAACATGTATACTCAGAACGCCTGAGAGAAGAGCCTGCCAAACAACCGGTTGAGAGGGACTTTGCTGAGGGAGAGCACCAAGATAAAGCAACCGCTGTTTGTTTTGTCTAGTCAGGGGGAAAGCCAAGGCAACCAATATTTTGAGTTTCTTTTATTTCATTTGTGAAGGATTATTTGAGAAAGGGTAGTGAGGGAAGGTTTCCTGACGTGAATTTTTTAAGCTGTCCATTAGTAGAAAAGCAAGAGAGCCTTGGATGTCAACGCCTAACAAACTCTTGAGACCAGCTACCAAACCACGAAAAGTGACTTTCTTCCTGAGTGTTCTCTACGGTCTTTCTGATGGAAGCAGAAACGGGGAGCAGCAGAGAGGCTAGAAAGGGGGCCAACAGAGGCACTCAAGTCGCCCTGGCTGTGTTTATCGGTGGCACTGTGGTGCTGGGCACCATCCTCTTTCTAGGTAAGTGGAGCGCTGGAGGCCAGGGGAACTGGGTACATGCCAAGAACTTTCCTCATGCTTTATTCTGGCAAACCTTGCCATAATACAGGTGTACAGCTGTTTGCTTGTGTTAATAGGCAGTATAGTCTCAGTTTCTATCAAACATGCATATGTAAAAGAAGGCTGTTTTTTCTTGAAAAATTTTTTTGTAGTTGTACAGAATGCCTTTATTTTATTTGTTTATTTTTATGTGGTGCTAAGGTTCAAACCCAGGGCCTCACCTGTGCAAGGCAAGCACTCTACCACTGAGCTACAGCCCCAGCCCCAAGAAGGCTATTCTTTAGTAGCAAATGTATAGTCTAGAAGGGAACATGGGTATAAAGTTGTTTGGAGTGACTACGGGATTCTGTTGCACTGAGAAAAGAATATTCATGAATTACATTTTGAAAATTGAGTGTTTATAAATTCATAGTCATACTTTCATTTATGCTGTGAGGAAAACTTTTTATATGATGATCGAAACCATGCTGGAATTTCTTTTCATTTGACTTTGGTTATATTTGCCTGGGCGAATCACAAAACTTAATTCACAAAATACAAATCAGTCCTTTCAATGCACCTTTAATGGTATTCTTCAAGTCCTTTCTAATCAAGTGACTTGATGGGATGCAATGTAAACTCAGCCTTTCTAATAGATTTAAAAATTAACATGAAGGAAAACAGAAGTTTTCTTTCAAGATTTGAAAAGTATTGTGTGATTCAATTATTTTAATGACTTATGGTAAGAATGATGTGTGAGTCTATGAGATGATCCAAGTGTATCCCTATGACAAAGAGTCAGACATCTTGGTAAGGTGTGAGGGATGTCCTAAAATTTTAGCCTTTTGGAACCTTTGGCTATTACCATTTTTTCTCAAACAGCCCATAATATTTCATTAGCTTGAGAGTTATGAAGGAACAACTCCCATTCTTGGGAGATTCTAGGTACACTTTGAAATGCAGCAAGCCTGGAAGCATTCCTTGGCATATACATGATGAAGGTGACCATGTTTATTTTGGCAGGGGAAAACCAGTAATTAAACTTGAAAAGAGTTAGGGTTGTGTGGTTGAGAACTCTGCTAAAATGAGAAAACCATCTTTCCATGTTTTCTGTGGCTGGAGATTTAGGAAATTAGATGAATTTATTGCTTTCTGGTGAAGTTAAATCTCCTGTTCCTGCAACTGAATCTGTGGCTCTTGAAAACTGCTGTGAGATTTCTCAACACTTGGGGTTTAGATGAACATCCTCTCCTGAAATTCAAAACTGGGGGAGAAATTCTATGGGCATACCAAGGGACTACACACTAAGTGGGAAGTGTCTACTACAAGGTTAGGTTTGCAAACACTTCCAGACATCAAAATCCAAATGATTATCATGTGTGTAAAAATATGTACTCTTTTAAATGTTACCACTGCTTGAAACTTTTTCCAAACTCTACTTTTGTGATTATTACATTCTGAGGCTGTGGCATATTAATTGGAAGATTCTCTATGGCAGTCTTTGTCCTTTGAGAGAAAGTAATTATTTGGCATCATTTTTAGATGATGTTTTTGGAGCAAAGTAAAATCACCAAGTCAGTCAATGCTATTATGGACAAGGAGGCCTGTATAAAATAGAAGATAACTATCCAATATGCCCAGCAACCCAGCTCTTACCTCTAGTGTCTAGGGGAGGCTCTAATGGTGTTGGAGAATAAGTGCAAACTAATGGTGTAGCCTCAGTACACTCATTGCTCAAAGTGTGGTCCCTGGACCAGCAGCATTAGCATCACTTGGAAGCTGAGCTCCACTCCAGATCTACTGATTCACAGTCTGCATTTTCACAAGACCCCAGGGGATTTATTTTCAAATGCAAGTTTGAGAAGCATTGCTTCAGGATACCACTTCCATTTTGGCATATAAATTCAGGGGTCCTTATGTTTTGTTAAACATTTCAGCACTATGACAGACTCACCCTCTTCCTACCATGTTTTTTTTCAATGCCTGTCTCTCAGGCTCTGCTACCCATCTCCACCCTGCATCTAGCAAAATCCTTTCTGAAAATCTCTAGGGACCTTCCAGGCAATGCTCTTCATGACAGTATGCTTCACAGTACTTCCCGGTTAACTTTGCAGTGTATTTTTCTGTCTGTCCAAGTTCAGTCACATGCCTGCATTTTCAGAACCCTTCCTTACCTCGTCTTTGTCTTTGAGGCTCTGGGATAATCTCTCTTCTAAACCTTTATGCTTCTATAGTAAGTGATTGCTGGTGGCCTTAGGGTGATTTCAGAAAAGTGAAAGCACTAGAAATTAAAACATCAGGTATACACCTTTAGCCAGTTTTTTATTTTATTTTTTTAATATATATTTTTAAATTGTCAACTGACCTTTATTTTATCTATTTATAGGCGGTGCTGAAAATCAAACCCAGTGCTTCACACATGTGATGCAAGTGCTCTACCACTGAGCCACAAACCCAGCCCTAGCCAGTTTATTTTAAAGTGTTCTTTCCTCTTCCCTTCCCCTTCTCACAGTCTGTTTATCAGATGCAATGATCAGCAAACTTTTTCTGTCAAGGCCAGATAGTACATAGTTTCAACTTCATGAGCCATACATACAGTCCTTGTTGCTGTGCTCAGCTCTGTTGATGTAGCTCAAAAATATACATAGACAATATACACACAAATGAGCACAGTTTGGTGCAGTAGGATTTGATTTCTTGACACTGAAACTTGAATTTCATATATTTTTCATGCATCATGAATTATTATTATTATTTTGTATTTTTTCCAATCATTAAAAATGTCAAAAGCATTCATAGAAACAGTCACAGGTAGTGGGTTGGATCTAGCCTGTGGGCAATAGTTGGCTGACCTCTGCTCTATGTCCTTTCTCATACTCTTGATCTGTCATACTCTTGATATGTGTGTGACTCCACTGGATTCTGAAGGCATTTCTAATGGTTATAGAGAAATTGAAGTGAGAAACCAAATTGCTACATAAGTTTTTTTTTTTTTAAAGCTCCTAACCAGTAAAAAGTAACATTTAAATTTTTTTTATATTAAAAATATTAGCTTTATTGTTTATATTTCATTCACTGACACCTTTATCTTACCTGGGCTCATTGATCCTTAAGATCCTTTATTTTCAGGATCTTAAAATAACCCCCCATGGATATACTGCTCTTGCTTGAAGGCTTAGGTCTGTGTCCCAATTAATTATACTAAAAACCTTTCTTCTACTCTTCCTCAGCAAAAGATAACTGATTTTAGTTCTGCATGCTTAGAGAGTTTTTGTCAAGAATTAATTTTTATGAAAGGACTAAGTCTTTAACCATTTCATTAGCTTTTTATGAAAAAAATGCCAGTATCAAGAAGTTATTGTGTAGGATAATAAAATATTATTTATAATAAAGTTTATTTTTTTTAATTATAAGAAATAATACATGCTTAGTAAAAAAAAACATTTGGTAAACTTATCAAAGTAGACTGAGGGAAAAACTATGCCCATGGTTTTACCACCCAAGCATATTGGAATATTCCACACCAATCTTTATGCTGACTGTATATATTTTTAACCTAACTTTTTTTCTTTTAAAGAAATCAAAACACACCTTAATGCTAAGAAAATTCTTTTCTTAAAAATAGGCTTGAGATGTACTGTAGACAGTTTCCTTGAATTTATTATATAACACAGGTAAAAAGGCTGTTTGCAGGATGGCAGCAGAGAAAAGAACAAAGGAAAAACAGACTCCTCTTAGAATGTTGGGTAATAAATAATAAAACTGCCACACTGGCAGGTGATCTTCAGGTCTTCCATTGCTTCCAGAAACATAAGTATTAGTGCCACCAAGTTCTCTGATTCTGCTTCTCTGTTGAGGATGCCATGAAGGGCCTCAGTCCTTGTTCACACCATGGTTCATCTCCCCATGGCTTCATCTTCATACAACTCCTTGTTTCTGCTCACAGAAAACAGCAATAACGAATTCCATATATCTTCCCCAGCAACCGAGGAACATATTTCAAATATTTTTGAAATCCCTAAGTCACATCTGTTAATGCCCAGAAAAAGGTTCTGTCTAGAGTTCACAAACGTGGTATCCTTCAGTATTTGTGCTGAAATCCATTTGAATAATGTGGCCAGCCAAATGAGGGAAGTAAGGCACTGGTGAAAGCTATTTTAATTGTACAGTTTTATTATTTTTTTTAATGTGGTGCTGAGGATCAAGTCCAGGGCCATCCCTGGTTTTGTTTTTTGAGGTAGGGTGGAAGGGAAGAGTGGAAATAGCTGGAATCTTGGTTCTCACAGGTGCATATGTCTGGTAGCTAGGCTGGGCCTGGTGGGAGGAAAGTATGTGGTGCAGGCAGAAAATGACTGTTACCAGATGATTTGAGTTATATGCCCATGGTTTTATTTCTTTTCTCCCTCTTTATGGATGGTTTAGATAAGATCCCAAACTCTAAATGCCACGTATGCTAATTTTCTCCTTCCACTCTGGAGTTGCTTACAATGGCATAGTTTAAAAGTTTCAATTTTTCCATCTCTAAGACGGAGATGTCGTTATAAACTTAAAGAGTGAAAGTGTGAGACAAACTACAGATAATTGGAGATAGAAGACACTTTAAAGATCATCTAACACCGGCTCTCACATTAGCATCACCTGCAAGGCTTGATGAAACACAGATGGCCATCTGGGGAAGGAGCTCAGCGCTAGAGTGCCTTCTTAGCACGTACTGAGGCCCAGGCTTCAATCTCCAGCACCCAAACCAACCCTGCCAAAACAAAACAAAAGAAAACAAAACAAAACCCCACAGATAGAGTCAGAAAGTCTGGAGTGGGGCTGAAAATGTGCACCTCTAACAAGCTTCCAGGTGCTTCTGCTGCTCTGGGGAGCAGACTCTCAGTCTGTTCATACTCACTCACTTGATTTACATATGACAAAAACTGAATTTCAGAGCAACTGAGAATCTTACCAAGGCTACTTAGGTTCTGAGGGGTTGAGCCAATGGAGTTTTGAATACCATGTCAATACTGAGAAGAATGAACTGATACCAAATGTCTTGCATATGTGCCTGATGGTGGTTTACCCGATGGTGGTCTGTCATTTATTTTTGTCATTTATTTTGGTCTGTTTTTTCAGTGAGTCAAGGTCTCTTAAATTTCCAAGCTAAACAGGAGTACTGCCTGAAGCCAGAGTGCATCGAAGCCGGTAAGTTCCATTTTCCACCCTGTGTCAAGTTATAATTATGGTACCTTGGGGAGTAGACGAGAAAACAGGTGGTATTTTTAGTATTCTGTTTGCTTGAGGTTTACCAAATACGAAATGCAATTTTAAAGAAATTTAAGTTTACTTTCAAGTTTTGGTGTGAAGTAGTGGAGTTTGGGTTTCCTGTTTTCTTGCAATAATCAAGCAGTGTGATATTCCAAGCCTTGTGATAAGGAACTCAGGAAGAGGCTTGGAAGGTTGCAGGGCCTCTCTTAAGACCAGCAGGCAGAGACCATAGGCGTTCTATGGCTCAGCTGGCTGAAGATTCCTGTTTATCATAAGCAGTCTTTGTGTATCTTCTGGTCAGAGGCTCTAACCTGTCTGCCTCTAAGCAGGAGTCCTTTGTAAATCCATGCTTCCATTGTTGCTGGGAGTCCCTTTGGGTTCTTCTATTCCATGTTACAAGTCAAACTTCTCTTGAGATGATCAGACCACGTATCAGTGGTTGACCCAAAGTGAAACTTTGTGCTTAAAGTTGCCTTAGCAATTAGATTCTTCCCTCCCCCCACAAATCAGTGTGAGGACCTTGCAGGAGCTGGATTCCAGCTCCTACCTCCATGGATTCCAGCCCCTACCTCCATTCTTTAAGTGGGCAGGGCCCCAATGGCATTTTCCAAAGGGAAAGTCATAGCATAGAGATCACATTAAGCATTTGGTCTATTCCACTTGACCTTAAGAGATAAGATTAACACATGAATTCACCAAATATTTCCTCAAGCCAGGGACTGAGTTATGTTTTGGGAATATATCAATGAACCAGACAATCAAAGACACGTGAGGCAATCGATGCACAGGAAACATATCAGCTAGGAGTATATGCAGAAAATTAAAATATTTAAACAGAATAATGTGATAAAGTGACAGGATGGCTAGATTGAAAAGTCTGAGGACATGAAGGGGACCCTGAACAATGAGAAAGGAATTAATTTGTGAAGATTGAGGCAAGGGCTTTCCAGGTGGGGCAAAGGTCCCACAGAAGAATGAGCTTGTGTGGCTTGAGGGTCAGGCAGAATTTGCTGGGTAAGGGGCACCATGCAGGAAAAGGGAGTGAATGGGCAGACTAGCTGCCATGAGTTTAGATTTTTCTTAGGCATACACAAGAACCTCTGATGGGTTTTGAGAAGAAAGAGTACACCTTATGAGCCTTTTAAAAGATCTTTTTTGGTGGAGAACTAGATTTAGGGAAATCTTTCTGTGTGGAGAAGTCAAGTAGGGAAGCAAGAATGGGGGAAGGTTGTGGGGCACAGTAGCACAGGCCTGTAATCCCAGGAACTTGGGAGACTGAGGCAGGAAGATTGCAAGTTTGAGGCCAGCCTCAGCAATTTAGCAAGATCCTGTTTCAAATTAAAAAGGGCCATGGGTACAGCTCAGTGGTGGAGTACTTGTCTAGCATGTAGAAGGCTCTGGGTTCAATTCTCAGTCTAGCAGTAGGGGACGGGGAAGGAGGGTCACTCAGATGAAGTTATTTCAGTGGAGCAGGTGAGAATTCAAGAAATTGAGAATGCAGAAGGCTTAGGAGCTAGAAAGCTTGCAGAAGGATGCTGAAGGATTTGATATGCGCTTTGAGAAAAAGAGACTCGGCGTGATGCTTAGATGTTGATTGGTGGCATAAATTGAGATAGGAAAGGCTTAGGTGAAAGGGCTTATAAACTCTGAGAACTTAGACAAAGGTCATGAATTAGGTTATTATGTTATTGAAGGGTTTCTTGTCCCATTATTTTTTAAAAATTTATTGGTTCTTTTTGGTTATATATGACAGTAGAACCCATTTTGACATAATTATAAAAGCATGGAATATATTTTGTTCTAATTCAGTCCCTAGTACCTGTCCTTCCCCTCCCTTTTCCCCACTCCCTGTTTCCTTCCCTCTACTGATCTTTCTGCCATTTACCCATAGTTACTTTTTAAAATTAATTTCTTGTCCCATTTAAGTGATCAATACATATTTTTAACCAGGCAACATGTTGGGTGACTTACATACCTCATCTCATAAAACCTCCAGAAGAACATTATGAACTTAGTACCCTTGCAAGTCGCACAGACAGATAAAGGAATGTAGGCTTCTAGAGGCTAATTAACTTTCCCATGGTCCTATCCTGAGCCAATGGCAGAATTTGGCTTTACCTCCATGTCTGGATCCTTTCCATCTTTTCCTTGGTGCTCTGGTAGCATGCCAAGTAACTCTGTGTTTCTGATCCCCTTAGTCCTTCATCTCCACCCTGCCACCCACTAGACTTCCTAGAGTCTAGTGACTAAACTATTTCAGCTTCTTGATATCATCCCTCAAAGGGTGATTCTTTTTCTTCTTGAATGATGTGGGAATTTCCAACTTGAGCAGTTGACCTGGGGCCTTCTCCAGTGGAGAGAGGATGTCATAGAGTAGGGTGAGGGAATAGGTGGCACAGAGAACAGGTTTAAAATTTCATCATCTGGTACTTTCGTTGTGGTTAGGGTTCTTGTGGCTAGGAGAATTTGAAATTTATAAAACTCAGAATCTTCAATTTGAGTTTAGACAACTTTTGGTATGGAAGGTCACTTACTGCATGAATTTTGCTTATTACAAATCATAACAATGCCAGAGTTAAACCTAAAGACTGCTTTCTGATAATGTTGCTTTCTGCCATCTATTATGTTTTTCCTGTTTTTAATTTTTGTTTTGTAAAATGGCTTTCTAATGTTGAAAAATATTGGTTTTTCAAAACATTACATAGTTCTTGATATATCATATTTCACATTTTGATTCAAGTGGGTTATGAACTCCCATTTTTACCCCGTATACAGATTGCAGAATCACATCGGTTACACATCCACTGATTTACATAAAAATTATTAAAAAAAAGAAAAATATTGGTTTTGCTGTTCAGTTGTGAAAGGGTCACAAAAAATACAGTCCTCTTTGATGGGACATGAGCTTCATTTTGTCCAGGGGTCTATAGAACAGCTCGAATAGATGTGGTAGGAGAATTGTATAAGCCATGATCTTACACAAGAGCTGGTATGAAGATGAGGGTATATGGGCACAAATCCACATAATAAAAGTTCAGGAGATGGATGTTTTTGATCACCTTCTGTTCCACTTCTGAACACACGCCAACAATTTCTGAGATTCAGCCTCCCTGTAACTTTTCTTTCCTCTCTCCTTGTTCACTTCTTCGGATCCCTCTTTCAAAATGAGAGCTGTAGAAAGAATATAAAGAAACAAGGAAAGGTCATGCTAATGATAGTGGATAAAGGTGGACAAGCCTTTCACTTGTGTTTGAAGCCTGTTATGGTCACATATAAGCCATGTGATCCTGGGTTAAATATTTAACCATCCTAAGTGGCAGTTTTACCATCTATGAGATGAGGATAACAGGTTTTAACTTATCATACTAGTTGTGAGAATAAAACAAAATAATAATGGTACTAGTAATCCAGGTCCACAATATGCAATCCCAGAAAGTACTGCAATTCCCAGGTGGCCAGAGCAAACGTGACCTCAATTCCTATGATGGATAAAGTGGATCTTAACTCATGTGAGGTCATTTTAGGCTTTATCGATCCTACTTAAGAGAACATAAGTAGCATTTCTATGTTCCCCATAGAAATATTAAGTGCTTGCTTTAGGGGTCCACTCCAGACATTTCTGAGTTATGATATCATATGTGGTTATACACTATTTCTTTTTCAAAATCTGTGAGTTCTGAAAATCTAACTTCAGAGTTCCAGATAAGTGTTTATGGAATTATAATAGCAAATGTTTACATGTATGCTTCCCATATTTAGCTAAATATATACATACAGGAGGATGCTCAGTTAAGTTGAATTGCAGATATATTGTGTTGACAATGTTTTTGTATAAATATGTCCCACGTAATATTTTAAATATACTTATTTTAATAATTAACCTTATTCTAAAAGTAGTTTTTTTTATCTGAAATTCAAATTTTACTGGGCACCTTGTATTTTATCTGCTGACCATAGTTATATGGCAACGTGCCTGACACTGTTATAAGCAATTTACATATATTTACTCATTTAATTAGCGTGGTGATCCTATATGGTGTTGTTATTATTATTATCCTCATTTTACAGATGAGGAAATTAAGATACATGAAGGTTAAGTAATCTTCCCAGGTTGTACAGCTATTGCACACTGTTGCTGTTCCTCTGACCCAAGTGGTCTGACTCCAGAGTTTATGATGATGCTATATTGCTTGGAAGGGGCTTAGCATATAGTTCCTGGCATAGCAGAAATACTGAATGTTAGTGATTTTATATAAATAATGAGGTTGAGGCCCTTAATAAGACTCTCCCCTGAGCCCTGACTAAACCTAAAAACTCATATTGGTATATGGCAAGATGCCTCCATCTGTACTCCATAAACTAGCTGGAGACTGCTTACCAATTAACTTCATCTGCAATGACTTGAGAGAATACACAGCCTGAGCTTTCACAGGTTTCCTTCATCATCATATTTATTTTATTAAAACAAGATTCTCTGGGTTTTCTCTATGGAGCTGAGTAGGGGGAAAGGAGTTTGGTGTCTTGACAAGTATGGTCCCTCGTGATTTGAAGTCACAGTTCTCCTGCAGAAAGCACAGCCTTGTGCCCAGCTGTGAATCGTGAATGATGAATTGCAAGGCAGAGGGAAGAGTTTTCTCACTCAGAGGGCTCCTTTCCAAATTCATGCAAGTGATGTATTCCCCTACTTTAGCATCAGGGCCGAGGTCAGAGCTGACCTTGCAGTTTTTGTAGGTACCTGCTAGCAAACTGAGGAGATGGAGAGGATGTATTTGAGGGTTGGGGGAAGGGAAGTTTGGGAAGGAAGCCAGGAAACAGTGAGCTTATGTGAATAAAAATTCGTGTGAGGGCTCCCCTGTGTGACTGTAAATATTGTGTGGGACTGAGACTTGTGTGAACCGTATCCCTGAGGTGTCACATTGCAGATTCATTCTGGGGCTGCACAGACTATAAATATAAAATGGAAGGAAGACTTTATATGTCCTAGCATGGTTGCATATTAAATGGTAATGATAAAACAGTAGCAGTAAGCATACATGTAATTAAATACAACTGAGTTCATTCTGAAAAACAAAAATATTAAGTCAATTTAAAATCTGTTGAACTGGTAAACCAAGTTTTTGCTGGTTGTTTTTTTTTTTTTGGGGGGGGGCGAGGGGGGTTGAAAGCAGCAGGGATTTTGAAGTCCTCTAGAAATTAGGATGTTTGTTGATTATTCACTTCAATGAGGACAAGGGCTGTTTGAAATTTGCACAGTGTAGTATAGAGAAATATCTAGCTTTATTTTTTTAAACTTTTTTTAGTTGTAGATGGACATAATATCTTTATTTATTTATGCAGATTGTACTTTTTGTTAAAAATTTTTAGTTGTAGATGGACACAATACCCTTATTTATTTTTTAAAAGCTCAAATTTTTTTAAACATTTTTTTTTTAGTTGTAGACAAACACTACACCTTTATTTAATTTATTTATTTTTGTGTGGTGCTGAGGATTGAACCCAGGGCTTCATACCTGCAAGGCAAGCCCTCTACCACTGAGCCACAACTCCAACCTGATATTTATTTATTTTTATGTGGTGCTGAGGATGGAACCCAGTGCTTCACAAGTGTGAGGCAAGCCCTCTACCACTGAGTCACAACCCCAGCCCTGCATATTATACTTTTGGGGGCAGTTCATTTTCATCTAGCTGAAAAGTCATCGGATTTTCATTACTTCAAAGAGAAATATATTCTTGCATTAATTAAGGTATGAAAATCACTCAGAATGTCTTTCTTCCAAAGTTATTAAAATATTGGCTGATGTTTTTTTAATCAGTTGGTGCATATCTTTGTGCCAGAGTGGTAGCCAGCAATTGTATGGCAGTTGGAAGAGAATTGGAGGTCAATATTAGAAAATTTAGAACCTTTTCATTTTGTGATAGAAGATTTTCTTTCAAAATTTATGGATACATATTTATGTAAAAATTTCCTATCTATGAACTATGGTCCACATAATTGTGTTTGGGCTTATAAAAGGAAAGACAGGGTAGATTAGTGTATTGTATCTTTCTGTTAACTCATATGAATACTCAATTCTACCCCATACCTGGGCCCCTTATTTAGAATACTTCATTTTGGTCCTTCTGTGGCCATTCCTCTCCCCCAGCCCAGTCAAGGAGCCTGTGGGGCCAAGTCTGCAGCTCTCTCCTACACCCCAGAATTGCCTGCCAAATGGCCCCAAGTTTCCTTTCAGGGCCTGTGTGGGTTTCTTTCAGGGCTCCCTTCCTCTGAGACCTACACTGGATGTCAAGGGGCTGAAGAATTCATACTGGCCTTCCTGGTTTTTATGAAGGAATGTTGCAAGTATGTGTTTAAAATATGTAGGTAGGGGCTTGGGTTGTGGCTCAGTGGCAGGGCACTTGCCTAGCATATGTGAGGCACTAGGTTCAATCCTCAGCACCACATATAAATAAATAAAAAATAAAGGTACATCAGCAATTAAAAAAAAAATTTAAAATATGTAGGTAGATGACATGTGGGTCTCTGTTTCAGTTACCCTTTGCTGTGGAACAAACCACCTCAAACTTTGGAGGCCTGAGACAAGAATGATTTAATATTTCTCATGGGTCTCTGGGTTTGGTAGATGGTTCTGGTATTGCATAGGCTCTGGGGGTTCATTTAGGCTGGAAGGTCTCTGATGGCCTTTGTCACATGTATGGCAGCTGGTGTTGGCTTGGTTCTTCTCTGTGTGGCCTCTTGGTCTACAGGAGACTTCTTCAAAGGATAGCCTCGAGGCTCCATTTGAAAGGGAGTGTTTGGAAAGTGCAAGACCTTTTAAGGCCTAGCTTTGAAACTCACAAAAAGTAATTTATGCCAATTGTTTGCCAAAGCCAGTGGTAAAACCAGCCCAGATTCAAAGCAGGGGAAATAGACCCTATTGCTTTATGGTAAGAGTAACAAGGTGGCTTTGCAGACAGACATGTGGAATGGAAGAAAGTGTTATCTTTGCCAAAAGTCTACCACATACTCCATATGTATTCTGGTCTGACACCCCACAGATGTTAGGAATAATCCTGCAAGACCAATAACATATAATGGAACTTTTACCTACTCACTCTGAATGTGGTCATTTCATATAGTGATGTTGATCCAGAGAGTCATGTGAGGAGGAACATAGAGCCAAGGCTTGGGAACTGGTTGATATGAAATTGTTGTTTAATTTGGAAAAGAACAGTACACAATGTTCAGTGCTTGTCATTAATCCTGTGATTTTCTTTTTAAATAGCCGCTGCCATCTTGAGTAAAGTAAATCTGTCTGTGGACCCTTGTGATAATTTCTTCCGGTTTGCTTGCGATGGCTGGATAAACAATAATCCAATTCCTGAAGATATGCCAAGCTATGGGGTTTATCCTTGGCTGAGACATAATGTTGACCTCAAGTTGAAGGGTGAGTTTCTACTGGAGTTTGGTGATATATAGAGAGCAATATTTGAGAAGAAAAGCATAGTTTGGGATTTGAAGCATAACTACTCACTTTTAACTATAGGAAATTCATTTCCAAGATTTTTTAAATGGGAAATTGAAAGTTTGCAGAATTACAGTGTCTCACATTTCAACATAAGCCTAATATAGGTTGTTATGTTCATACTTGATAATGCAATAGTAAATTCTACTGCCATAGTAAATTCTAAATAACATTTGATGGAGGCTGTGAGTAAAGGAATAGTTAATGAAAATTATGTTATATCAATATACTTATTTGTCTGTTGTGTTCAGGGTAAACTTCATTTCTTGCTTATTGTGTCCTGGATTTTCATGGCTTATAAAATGTACTTAACACCTTGTTGTCTTTTGCCATCACTTTTGAGAACTTTGGATGACCTGTGGTTGTCATATTGTTCTTGTTAACTTAGTTGGCTCTAGGGAGACTCACTTTTCTCTCATGGCCTTTTTTAGCAATGACAGGCTCACACACACATACTCACATGTGCTTATATATATTTATTTCATATGTCCTTGTAGAAATGTCTGTTACAGAAGGATATTATGTTTGCATTGGGTCTAATTTTTATGCTAAGCTGTTGGAGAAAGACACCTCATGAGAGAATTAGGAAGATTTCAAAGCCAGATAAGGTAATTATTATCAGAAGGCAAAAATAGTGTTTGTTTTCTTTTTGACAACCGCAAGTAATGCCATGTAACTAGTGTTCAGTAACACCTACATAGAATTACTGAGAAGTGGTAAGAATTGTAATTTTCTTTCTTTCCCATCTCCATTTTTTCAAGATTTTTAAGTACATAAAAATTAAATATCAATTTATATAAACTTAACACATAAAACTATTGGCAGAATGATTAGACACTGCTCAGCAATTGTAAAGAAAATATCATTAAATTTCACAACTATATATAAATCACATGGACTTTTATTTTCTATTAGGAGGCTCAAATTTAATCTGGTAAATTTTTTTTTTTTAAAGAGAGAGAGAGAGAGAGAGAGAGAGAGAGAGAGAGAGAGAGAGAGAATTTTAATATTTATTTTTTTTAGTTCTCAGCGGACACAACATCTTTGTATGTGGTGCTGAGGATCGAACCCGGGCCGCACGCATGCCAGGCGAGCGCGCTACCGCTTGAGCCACATCCCCAGCCCTAATCTGGTAAATTTTGAATGAGAATTTGCAAGAATGTTAGGATTTTCCTCTATCCTAAAAGATGATATTCCTGTATCATAGAACCATAAATAAGATCTTCAAGAGTGAATTTATAGACTAATATTTATTACCCTGTGGGACATTAATTAATGTTGATCCTTCATCTACCATTATTGTCCATTTTCTATTTCTCTTCCCTGGCATTTCTTCCTTAGTAGGTGTGTATTCATATGTGAAGCCCATATTCATACACATACACACAATCATGCATGTGGGAATATCACTGAAGGATAGAAAAATATAAGAGTTCTAGATAGATGCTTCTTTTATATTAGTTATAACTGAAAGATTTATATCCTTAGGATGTGAAGTATTTATAATAAAAGAACTTTCTGGGGTTGTCTTGATATAAAAGTAGAAAGAATGTTGCCTATAAATCTACTTCTAGAAACTACTGCTAATAAAGCAAATTTGGTGTAGTTTTACGTATATGGGTTCATATTGCGTGACCTCATATGCAAAACCATTTATTTTAAAAATTAGCTGACATTATATATATATTACTCTGTAACCTATTTTAAAAGTGGATGGTGTCAGCTAGTTGTGGTGGCACATGCTGGCAATCCCGGAGGCTCAGGAGGCTGAGGCAGGAGGATTGTGAGTTCAAAGCCAGCCTCAGCAACAGGGAGATGCTAAGCAACTCAGTAAGATGCTGTCTCTAAATAAAATACAAAAAAGGACTGGGGATGTGGCTCAGTGGTTAAGTGCCCCTGGATTCACTCCCCAGTACCCCCACCCCCCAAAAAAGAATGGTGTAGTAGATAACTCTCTCTTCTTATTATAAATGATACTGTAATAAACATTTTGTGTTCATATCTTTATATTCTTCTTTAAGTATATCCCTAAGAATTATTGGGTTGAAAGAGTATTCATAATTTAGGTTTTGATGCATATAGTTAGATTGCCCTTTAGAAAGTTTATTTCCAGGGCTTTATATATTTCCTTGCTGTTTTAAATAACTTTCCTCATCAGCCTTTTTTTTTTTGGTAGCGGTGTTATAGAGCTTAGCATACTACAAATGGTAGTCCAAACCCAGTCCACTGCCTGTTTTTACAAATAAAGTTTTATCAGAACACAGCCACATTCATTCATTTATTCATAATGAATGGTTTCTTTTGTGCTATAATTGTAAAACTGAATAGTTGGTACAAGACCACATGGCCCACAAAGCCAAAAATATTTACTCTCTGACCTTTAAGGACAAAGTTTGACAATCTCTTATGTCTGATATAAAGCTTCAATATATCTATATTGAATATGATTAGAACCATTTTATGCATAGTAAGTATAGTTTTTTGGTGGCTTCTTTGGGATTTTTTAGATAGCTAATCATAAAATTAAGAAATAATTATAAATCATATTCTCTCTCTTTCTCTTTTGCTCTCATTTTATTGGCTGGAGTCTTCAGAATGGAGTTGAATAATAGCAATGATAATGTGTGTAATTTTTTTTGTCCCTACTACAGGCAGGAATGCATCTAGTATTTCCTATCAGTGTACATACACTCACACATAGAGTTTCTGATAGTTATTCTTTATTGTTCTGTTGTTCCTAGTTTGCAAAAATGTTGTGCCCAAGAATGCCACTGACACTTATTGGGAGACTCAGGTGGAAATTTCCTCATGATGAACTAAACTTATAATTTTGAAATAAATCTTACCTGTGAATGGTTTATTTTAAGACACTGCTAAAATTAAATAAGCTATTATTTTGCTTCATACATTTGTGTCTGTGTTTATGATTCATATTGGTCCATGGCTTCATGTGTGCTAGATTTGTCAAATTATGTGACCAAGATACTTCTGGTCTTGAGAAACAAAGTGGCAGACTTCCTTGCTCTAGGGAATACACAACTCAGTAAATCCCAAGTTCTTCTGTGACAAGTATCATAATGGGCAAATTCACCAAGTGGTCATAGGGTTCTTGCTTCAAGTATTAAAAAAAGGAGAGCAAATGATGGAATAGGGTTTCTTTGAAATTGGTATCATCTTGTTTCAGATATGTGTGTTTGAAATATCAATGATTAGTTCTTCAAATTTTTTACTTTGAGATAATTTAAATGTAGAGAATTGGAACAAATAGCACAATGAACTCCCATACTTACTTTACCTAGATTCCCTGATTTTGCTACCTTGGCTTTATCATGTTATTTCTCATTTTCTATAAATGTATAAATATTATCTCATCGTATATCTGCACATTTATGTACATTTATAGCTATAAATAGTGCATGAGAAAATAAATATCTATGCACAGTGATATAGATACCTATATATCTTTTTTTCTGAACTTTAGAAGTATGTTCAGATGGTTACATATTCTTAAAGTGCATAAATAGAACTTTTCAAATATCAAATGTGCTTCTTTTGCTTGAACACTGGATCTTTCAATTTTTTATCTCTTTGTATATTCCCTATCTATTTATGTCTCTATCAGTCTGTGTACCTATCCATCCAACCATCTCTCCATTCATCATTCCATCCAGGTAATATGAACTTCTTATGGACCAACAATAGATAACCAAGAAAAACAAATGTTAAATTCTACCACCAGTGATAACTTTTTAAATGCAAATATACATATAAAATTATATATATGTATAGATATATAATTTATATACATATAAAAATATATATGTGATCTTAAAGGGGATCATAAGCTCTACTTTTATAATCTTTTTTATTTGTTATGCTGTGAACATCTTTTTTCTTTTCTTTTTTTTTTTTTGTTGTTGGGCTGGAGATCGAACCCAGGGACTTGTGCATGTGAGGCAAGCACTCTGGCAACTGAGCTAAATCCCCAGCCCTGTGAACATCTTTTCATGTCAATAAATTAGATCTATGCTATCATTTGCCATGGCTGCTTTGTACCAGTGGACATATTATCTATTATTTTTATCTAATCAATGTCTGTGTTGTCATTTAGGTTGTTTCCATTTTTTTTCTCATTGTAAGCCACTAAAGGCATGAGGTTTGAAGCCTAAGAGCTAGGTTTGAATCCAGATTCCCTTTCATTTACCCTCTGTGTCACTTTGGGCCAAATACTGATTTCTTTTAGCTCAGATTTCTTTTGATTGATTGATTGATTATGTCACTGGGAATTGAACCTAAGGATGCTTTACCACCGGGCTATATCCCCAGCCCTTTATTTATTTATTTTTTAAATTTTTAGAGAGGGTCTCAGTTGTTAAGGCTGGCCTCAAACATGGTGATCCTCTTGCCTCAGCCTCTTGAGTAGCTGGGATTACATTTGTATGCCATTATACCTGTCAGATTTCTCAACTTTAAAGTGGAAATAAGAATCCCCATATCATAGGGTTTTTGTGAGGACTAAAGGAGATGGCCTATATAAATTACCCAGTCCAGTTCCTGGCATACAGCAGGCCCTCAATAAATATTTGTCCTTTGCTTCTCTGTTTTGCTACAAAGATAGTTCTAAGGTTCGTGAAGTAATGTCTATAAAATGTTCTAAGTTTTATTTGGGTCTTATCCTTTGTAAATATCATATGCTTTCAAAAATATTGAATCCTGTCAAGATATTTTTCCTCACCCTGGATAAAAGGAGAAAACATCCAAAAATAAAACCGAATACTACCAACCAAAGGAAAACCATTTTCTTATGGCTGATAGAGAACACACAGATGCAGCTGTCCAATTTGTGAAATAAAATGGATTTGACAGACCAGGTTGATGAAAAATTGACCTCTATTGAAGTCAGCAACCTGGCTTTGTGAATT